TTCTTGAGAGCTTTTATGCAGGTTTCTTAATCTAAAAATTCTCTCTTCCCCCTTTCTCTCAACTGAGACCCCTATTTATAAGTGTGGAGGGGATAAAATATGACTTAGGGTTGCATGAAATTCGTTCATATGCTCAGGGCCTCAAAGAAAATGAGCTTTAGGCTCTATTTGTTTGCATTTGATAGCTAGAAAAATCAGCACTTGTTTGATGTATCTGGACAGGCTTTTTAACAAGGTTCGTAGCCATTTTCCATGCATACGGATGGATTCCTTAACCATATTCATTGCTCTCTTTATCAATTGGATCATGACTCTTATTCATTGGGTTACTATTTAATAATGGGCTCAAAATAAAGAAATTAATAGGATCGGTCCATTCTTTTAAAGATTTAATTTATAATTAAATTAATTGGATATTTAAATGACCCAAATTAATTTAATCATTGCACTTTATCCGAATGGGTCGATATTAATAATTTATAAGGCCCAACAACCACCACAAGCAGCCCAATAGAGTCAACGTTGGCTCAATACAATTCAAAAGAAGCCCAAAATGATTGAGAATAATCTGGTAGATTTTAAAGAAGTCCAATAATCATCACAACCGGCCCAATAAATTTTATATGTCCACAGTTACATCCCCATGTGCGCACATGATTAAATCTTTTTGCCTCAACAAGTTACAATTTTACACAACGTAAGTTACATGTGCCATAATGCGAGTTACGCTCTTGCTATTGAAACAAAAAAATTCATAGTTCACATGCGGAAGTATGATTTTTTTTATAAAAAAAATTATGACCCAGATATAAAAAACAAAACATATTCACCATTTGCATAAATAATTGAGCAATTCGACTCTTTTTTCATTATTTACATTGAAATCAATGTTTTATTTCTTATATTTCGTATCGGACAAGTTACATTTCGACTGACCTGCGGTTACATTTCTCATCAACGTGAGTTACATTTATTTACACGCGAGTTACATCATTCATGCTACCGGGACAAAAAGAAAAAAAAAACAGTTACTGTACACGCGTTTACTGTTCACACAATTTTTTTTAAAAAAATTATGCAAAACTACATCGTTTTGGAGGTAGAGCATGGTGCTCACCGTGGGATCATCCCACGGTATACGAACTGATTTAATTTATCGAAACCTTGTATGAGATATCAGATTTACCCTCACATTTATATTGTCTATATTAACATTTATTTTCTATTATCATTTTACATTTTCAGTCGTTATTTACAGGGGCGGATGCATCTTTTTGAGAATGGGGCATTTGTGCTCAATAACATTTGTTTTTTTATCAATTAATCACTTGTGCCCCCAACAAAAAAATAGAAGTGCCCCATTAAAAACTCCACAATCATTTTGAAATGCTAAAGAGACAAAGAGTCAACTTATCTGTCCATGAAATTTATTTTGCAAGAGTCAATTTTACCATTTAAACCTTAAGTTAATCTAATTTTCTATAGTCTAACGAAAGAGTAGTTCAACAGCAAAATTACCCACTATTTTTAATAGTACTAAATAAATCATTTTGTAGGAAGAAATTTAACATTTTAATCCTACTTTAAAATTTTGTCTATGTTTTAGTTCTATTTTAAGTAATATTTTTTGAAGAATGTTCTAACTTGCATCTCTTAAAATTAGTGTATATGTTGCCATTTCAATTTTTATAACTTTTAGTGTCCGTTTGGTAACTCTTTTTTCCGCCTTATCAATCTTATCAGTTTACTTTTTCACCAAACATGTAATTTTTTGATTTCACGCGCTAAGTTGTGTAATAATCAAAATAAGTAAGGTTCAAGTTGCTTTTCTGGCTGGATTAGGTGAAGTTACTGCAAAGGACAATTTTAGTTTTTTCGTATATTTTTTCTTTATTTTATTAATAAAATGTATTCTTTATATAAATTTTTATAATTCAACAGAACCATTCAATCTAATCACTTCAGCAACAATTTCATAAGTTCCATCAAAAGCGGTCAATTCAACCAATTAAAATGCTATCAAATGGGCCCTTACTTAGTTAGTTTGGTGCCCCAACAACCACATTTTCTAGATCCGCCTGTATTTATTTCAATTGTATAACCAAAAAATTTACTTCATTTCACTAGCGTTTCTAGCTCCACACAATGATCTTTAAACCAAGCAATAGGCTTCAACTTCAACCTGTTTTTCAAAATTCAAACATACAGCCTGCTATGCCATATATATATTTATAATAAAAAATAGGGAAATTACCCAAAATAGGAGCAAATGACACTTGGAATTCCAAAAATAGGACTAGTATATTTTTCTTCCTGAAATAGGAGTTATTAGTGTTATGTATGAAAAGTACTGCCATGATTGAAAAATACTGTCATTAATTATAATGAATACTGTCATGTTAAATGCACTGCACATCAACTATTTGGCAGTCACTGCTACAAGATGACAACAAATACTGCCATGTTAGTCCAATTTCGTGAATAAAAACAAAGTAGTCCTATTTTAGAATTTCAAACTTCATTTACTTCTATTTTGGGAAATCTCCCGAAGAAATAATGATAGATCAGACTCGCTTCAAAATATATTATATATATATTCTGTCACGCCCCGGACCTACCCGGACACGTCAACAACCCGCCGTACAGTACGAATAGTCAACCGCAGTCCGACTCATCCATACTATACAAGGCGTCTTGAATACCATTCACACATAGTACATCCATAAACAAACATAATGTAAAACATTTATTAAAGCAGCGGAAACAATTGATACAAGTGTCCAAGCCACACTTGGCATAATTAGGCATGCAAGCCCCCAAAGTAATTATTCAGAAAATATTATCCATGAGCATTATTCATATTGTTTTTCAAAACAAGAACGGGAGAAGCACGAACCAAGTCTTCTCCTCAGAAACTTCCCGAAGCAGCGGCTGGTGGTAGCAACCTTCAAGTTCTACCTGAAACTGTGAGGTGGCCTCCCCCGTGAAGGGGAGGTCAGTACTTGGAAACATTTGACAAGTACAATGACAACTATACTAAGTATAATCAAAGTTTAAATCTCTGAGACCCTCAACTAGAGCATTATTACATTATAATTAATCCGTCCATTTAGTATCAATTCATCATTATTTACCACGGTCTAGAGCCCAGCTCATAATCACCGTTATCTACTACGGTCTAGAGCCCAGCTCATAATCACCGTCACCTACTACGGTCTAGAGCCCAGCTCATAATCACCGTCATCTACTACGGTCTAGAGCCCAGCTCATAATCACCGTCATCTACTACGGTCTAAAGCCCAGCTCATAATCACCGTCATCTACTACGGTCTAGAGCCCAACTCATAATCACCGTTATCTACATCGGTCTTGAGCCCGGCTCATAATCACCGATTCTTTATAATTCACATTCTTAGGATCTAATTCATCCATTTCTCAACTAACATTTCCAACTAATGTTTCAATGCTAGTTATTTATTTATTTCAATATAATTCTTTCTTCTTGCCCAATTGGCCTTAATATCAAGTATCACTTTCATACACTCATAGCTTCTCCTCATGGCATCAAAGTATACTATCTCAAATGATATTCATGGTTGGTACAACCATCATATACACATATTCATAGCATCTAAACATACACAATTTATTCATAAATTTGTGTATCATGCATACTATACTTATAATCAATAGTAGTTTCATTTAGGCATTATTAACCATTAACAACTCATGCACATCACATTTGTATTCACTTAGGAAATCCCATGAAATTAACCCAAAGATTATAAGTAACATAGTCGGTCATCCTCACCTTAATTAAGCTTAAGCGCGTTCTACGTTTCTCGATTTGACTTTGACCAACTCCGGCGAACTTTGACCAACTCCGGCGAACTTTGACCAACTCCGACGAAACTCCGGCGAAGCTCAAAAATACTTTAAATCAAGTCCCTAACAATGTTTTATCATTACAAAACCCATATCAACACAAATAACCTATAAAAGGTTATTTTCCGGCAACCCGGTCGATTTGGCTTCTAAGTCCGTTTTTGGACTTAGAATCACTTTCCAACCCATTATTCCACACTTAAATCATGTAGAACAATACTAAAAGTCTTTCATATGATATATACCTTATATGCTAGAAGAAAAACAAAGGAAAAGTTATGATAAAGTCATTACCTTAATTTTCACACTTTTTCCTAGCTTTTTCCTTCTTAAACTTTCTTCTTGGACTCCCTTTAGCTTGAGTTCGGATTTGGGCTATGGAGATGAAGTTTGCAGAGCTCTTCTCTCCTTCTTGGTGTATTTGGGTCTAAATGATGAGTTAAGGAGGTAGGGGTGGTTCCTTCTTGTCTCATTTAGACAAATGAGTGAAGGGAGGGGGCCTACTACATGTCAAAGGTGTCTCCCCCATCCTCTCAATTGTTGTTCAGCCAATTTGGCACTCATCCAGCCCTCAAGGGTTGACAATTTCGTGGGGTGGCCCCCACCAATGTGGGAGGTCATCCCAATTTGTCCCAAAGTGTGCAATTTGCCCCGAAAGTTGTATTTTTCGGACTGTTTTAAGTATATTTTATTTTATCGGGTCAAATAAAATATAACATTTGTTCCCAATTCTTAATGGACCTTAGAATCAATATGTATCCCTCAACTTTAATTTAGAAGTCTCCGAAATCCCTTTTCGGGCTGTTATCTGATAGATTGCCGATACTGATAATTTGGCCCCGTTTGACCAACCGGTCAACCCTATGCCATTGTCATGGCTCAACTAGGGTATCCATCACCATATACATATTATCTAGTCCAAGATCAATATAATATGTGGCCCCGATAATATCGGGCGGTCCCCACTCCCGATGTGGGCCCCACGTGCATTTTACTATTCACGCGAAAAATTTAATACAAATTCACTACTTCGTAAATTCACTAAATATTTCGTAGGGTTCAATAAATTGTTAGCTTAAAGATAAATACATTTGGGGACGGTGTTACAAGTTCACCCCCCCTTATTTGGGATTTCGTCCCCGAAATCCACGTGTCTAATCGAAAAGGAAAGGGTACTGCTCCCTCATTGAGACTTCAGTCTCCCAGGTTTCTTATTCGGCTCGATCACTCCTCCAAAGGACCTTTACCATAGGAATCTCCTTGTTCCTTAGTTTCTTTACCTGTTGACCCACAATCTTCACCGGTTCCACCGCATATTGTAGGTCTTCACGTATCTCTACCGGTGGTTTCTCAAGGATATGAGACGGATCGCGCACATATTTCTTGAGCATCGATACATGAAACACGTCGTGTATCCTCTCAAGTTCTGGCGTCTATTTAATACGGTAAGCCACGGCCCCTATCCTTTCAAGGATTTCATATGGGCCAATGTATCGGGGGTTAAGTTTGCCCCTCGATATAAACCTGATGATACCTTTCCAAGGAGAAATCCTTAGAAAGACCTTATCACCGACCTCAAACTCCAATGGCCTGCGTCGTTTGTCAGCATAACTCTTTTGCCGATCTTGGGCAGCCTTGAGTCTATCCTGAATGACTTTCACCTTAGCCTTGGTGATTTCGACAAGTTCAATCCCCTCGAGCTTGGCTTCGCCAACCTCGTCCCAACACAACGGTGTTCTACATTTTCTCCCATACAATGCCTCGTATGGAGGCATGCCAATACTCGCCTGATAACTGTTGTTATAGGCAAACTCAACCAGAGCCAAATGCTTGTCCCAACTCCCTTGGAACTCTAGAGCACATGCCCTAAGCATATCTTCCAGAATCTGTATCACCCTCTCGGATTGCCCGTCCGTCTGTGGGTGAAAGGCTGTGCTTAACTTTAGCTTCGTACCCAAAGATGCTTGAAATTTTGGCCAAAATCGGGATGTGAAACGTGGGTCCCTATCCGAGACAATGGATATCGGAACTCCATGCAGTCTCACAATCTCCTCCGTGTATAGCTTTGCCAATCTTTCAAGAGGATAAGTAATGTTGATAGGCAAAAAGTGTGCACTCTTGGTGAGCCTATCAACCACTACCCATACTGCATCATAGTTGTTCACTGTTCGTGGTAGCCCCACCACGAAGTCCATGGTCACTGTGACACTCCAAAAATTTAAATAAAAATAAAAATAAATTTTATTAGTCAGATAAGTCAGATAAAATGTTACGGAAATAATATTTTAAATTTTTTTTAAGTAAGTCAAACAAAAATTTAACAATTGTGACATTCTAATCAGATAAAAATTTCCAAGTTTACGACTTTTTAATCAGATAAAAATGACCCGATAATAGAAGTTATGTTTTAGTATAAAATTAATTTTTATATAACTATTTTAGGTTGTATAATATACAATGTATAAACTAAATAATTAAAATACTCATAATACACACACACACACACACACACACACACACACACACACACACACACACACACACACACACACACACACACACACATATATATATATATATATATATATATATATATATATATATATATATATATATATATATATATATATATATACGTACGTAATAACAATAATAACATACGTAGTAATAATACTAAACCTACGTATAACCTAGTATATAACTAAAAATAATTATAATACTCCTACTATAATAAGTATACTACTAATACTATTCCTAAACGACCTAAAACAACCAAAAAACGAAATTGAATCCTACTTCAATACATATTTTACTCCGAGAAGTTTTTTTGGCCGGCAACATTCAAAAAAAAAAACGAAATTGATTAAACTCCAACTCCAACACTAAAACCCTCATATTCCCCTATAAATAATAGGCCAGAACCTGCGTTTTCTTCATCCCAAAAACTAAGAAATATACATATATATGTATATATATATATATATAAATTGCGACCCAGCGTTTTAGCCAGAACCAAGCCTTAAAAATACTTCTCAAACCTTCCCCTTCGTGATACGAATCCAACGGAAAAAGAATCGTCGAAAACGGTCGTGAAACGAGGGAGAAAAGCCTCGCCGGAGATTCGTCGGAGAAAAACTTTTCGACGGAAAACGGAGAAGAGGGAGGAGCTGCCGCTGCCGCCAACCCACCACCGTCAATCGCCGTCCCAAACGGAGCCAATAGCCGGCCGTTTCGCTCGTCCGACGAGGTAACACCTCCCCCCCTTAAATTCCCGTTTTTCTGGCGACTTGGTGGAGAAGACGACCCAGCCAAGGCTGGGGTCTGTCTTGGGCCTGATTTTTTTGGGCCAGAATAATTTAATTTGGACCAGTTCGGCCCAGTTGCAATAAAAATTAAAAATAAAATAGTAAATGAAATAAATAAAATTTGGAAAAATATAAATTAAATACCTAGTATAAATATACATATTCGGACCAACCAGAATTGGAAAATAATATTTTTAGCTATTTTTAATTGATTTAATGGTAATTGGGCCAATTTATACACATTTAGTAAATAATTAACTAAATAATGAAAATAATTATGAAATAAATATTGGAGTAAACTAGGTTAAATATATGACTAACTAGGACCTTATGGACCATTTATAATTAATAAAAATAAGGTTTAGTATATTTAATTATAAATGAACCGGTTAATAAATATATGAAATTAAAGGAATAATTATGGAAAATAATTATAAAAATAATATTCTGGACTAAAAATAATGTTTGAATAAAATAAGGAAAATAAATGTATTCATTTATGTAAATAAAGTAATTAAATAGTATTTTATAAGTAGAGTAAATTAATGGTGATTATTGAATAAAAATTTAGATGTTGTAGTTAATTATATTCGGATATTTTATTTCAAATATTGAAAATTAATGGATGAAATTATTAAGGTAATTTTATTAATAGAAAGTGAGTAATCAAATAAATTCGGATAATTAATAAATTAAGTTAATAAATTCGAATAATAAAATAAAAGGAGAAAATCGGGTAAAGTAATTACAAATAGAATAAGTGACTAATTTCATCATATTTAATTAAAAAGGTGATTATCTAGAGACCGGATTAGAGGAGGATAACTAGGAGCAACATGACTTAAGGTAAGTTTCTCTGCCAATCCAAAATTGTTTCCTCGTATTATATGCTTATTATGCATTATGTGATTAAGTGTGATTTGTGAATTTTGTGTATGTGATTTTGAGAAGATATTATATATATGGTAGTTAAGAAGTATAAATCTAGTACTTTTGGGGTATTAAATATTTTTAAATACCTTCGAGATTTTTTTTGAGAAATTAAGAAGTATTTTTGAAGTATTGTTAAGCAAAGATAAAATTTACATTTTCATAAGAAGATAGCATCTCGGGAGTAATCCGAGGTGTCGGTTTTTCCACATCCGGATAAATGTGGAGGGTGATTAGAGCTACTACTACTAAGAAGTACAGTTTGGATCTATGATCCCTTTTAAGCAAGATTTGGATCTATGATCCCTTTTAAGCAAGATTTGGATCTATGATCCCTTTTAAGTAAGATTTGGATCTATGATCCCTTTTAAGAAGAAGTTATAGTAGTAGTCCCTAATCATTCAAGAATTTTAGAATTGGGGTGGTTGGGTTCCGACCACTCGGGATGACTTACTACTCGGAGGGCTTGGAATCCCTTTCAGGGGGTGTGCACACTTAAGGTAGTCGTTTCGTTTCCAACAGAGCAGTTGTGGTACCGGCACTTGTTCGGGGTGGCCGTCCGTAACCACGGTCCACCGGGCTCTACCGAAAGGTTAAGCACCGCCCTTCTAAATTACTAGGAAGTTAGAGAAGAAGTGATTTTTTTTGAGGAAATCAAAGAGAAGAGTTATTATGAAGTTTTAAAGAGAAGTTGAGCATTTTTGTAAAGAAGTAGTTTGAGAAAAATCAAAGTGAAAAGAATTTTGATGGTGTGAGTATTTTTATATATTATTATATAAAAATCTATTTTTAGCCAAACCTGATTATTTTACGGGGTTGGGTAGTACTTACTTAGCTCTAAAGATAATTTTTGTTATTTTTCTTGTCTCTCTCTTCTCCCTTAAATTTTATCAGGTGATGAGTTGGATACCTATGTGGATTGACGGATTGCTCGAGCTTGAGTGCGAATTAGAAGATGCCTTAGTTAAATCTAGTCATAAAACAAACATTTACTTATTATTACATTAGTTTTTATTGTTTTACTTGGAGTTGCCTGTGCATTCGGTTAAGAGATGACCGAATGTGGCGGTAACACTCATTTCCCTATTAAGACTTCCGCTGTATTTCTTCAACTCTTTGATGAATGAATAAAGTATTTCTTTTAAATATATCAATGTTTTGGGCGGGAAATTTAGGGGTGTTACAGTCACGTGCTCCCACTTCCATTCTGGAATGGTAAGTGGTTGTAAAAGTCCTGCCGGGTGCTGATGTTCCGCCTTGACTTGTTGGTAAGTAAGGCACCGACTCACGTACTCTGCGATGTCCCTCTTCATACCCGACCACCAGTAACTTTCCTTCAAGTCTCGGTACATTTTAGTACCTCCTGGATGCATGGCATACGCCGAAGAATGAGCCTCCTCCAGTATAGACCTTTGGAGTTCCTCGTTCCTTGGTATGCATACACGGCCTTTAAACAATAAAAGACCGTCATCACGTACCCGAAAGTTCTCAACAGGTCCCTCAAGGATCTGTTCACGGATCTTCTGACATTCTTCATCAGTGGCCTGACATCTACTGATCTCACTCAGCAATGTAGGCCTAACCTCGAATCTAGCAATGAGAACCCCACTTGTGGACACCTCCACTTGTGCCCTTAGTGAGCGTAGACACGTGAGTAACGTCCCCGATGTACTCTTTCTGCTCAATGCATCGGCTACTACATTGGCCTTCCCGGGATGATAGTCGATGATCAAGTCATAGTCCTTGATCAACTCCATCCATCTCCTTTGTCTCATATTCAACTCTTTTTGAGTGAATACATACTTCAAGCTTTTATGATCGGTGAAAATGTGACATGTCTCCCCATAGAGATAATGCCGCCAAATTTTCAGTGCAAACACTACCGCTCCCAACTCTAGATCATGGGTAGGGTAGTTTGCCTCGTGTTTCTTTAATTGCCTTGAAGCATAGGCAATCACCCGACCGTTTTGCATTAGAACACATCCAAGCCCTTGGATGCTAGCGTCACTGTATATGTCGTACCCTATCCCTTGTGTGGGTAGAGCGAGGACTGGTGCTTCTGTAAGCCGTTTCTTTAGTTCGAGAAACCCTTTCTCACAATTGTCGTCCCATATGAACTTGGCCCCTTTCTTTGTGAGCTTTGTCAATGGAGACGCCAATACAGAAAATTTTTCAACAAACTTACGATAATATCCTGCTAAGCCAAGGAAGCTACGTATTTTTTTCACGTTTTTGGGTCTCTCCCAATTCATAATGGCTTCTATCTTGGCTTTATCCACCGCAATGCCCGGACCTGACACGACATGTCCGAGGAATCCGATCTCTTTGAGCCAAAACTCGCATTTAGAGAACTTGGCAAATAGTTGTTTTTTCCTTAGCCGTTCAAGTACAAGTCTCAAATGATCTTCATGCTCCCCCTCACTCTTGGAGTATATCAAAATATCGTCAATGAATACTATCACGAATTGATCTAAGTATTCACTGAACACACGGTTCATCATGTCCATAAATGCCGCCGGGGCGTTGGTTAGCCCGAACGACATGACTAGGAACTCGAAATGACCATACCTTGTGCGGAATGCACTCTTCGGTATGTCATCTTCCTTTATTTTCAGTTGGTGGTACCCCGACCTCAAGTCGATCTTCGAAAACACCGTCGCCCCTCGGAGCTGATCAAACAAGTCATCAATTCTAGGCAGGGGATACCTATTCTTGATTGTGACCTTGTTCAGTTGACGATAGTCAATGCACATACGAAGTGTTCCATCTTTCTTCTTCACGAAAAGGACCGGTGCTCCCCACGGAGAGTGACTCGGCCTTATGAAACCGTTATCCAATAGCTCTTGCAATTGGGTTTTCAACTCGTTAAGTTCAGCGGGTGCCATTCTGTATGGCGGTATAGAGATTGGTTTGGTGCCGGGTTCGACCTCGATCACGAACTCAATCTCCCTATCGGGTGGAAGTCCCGGCAAGTCTTTTGGGAAGACATCCGGATACTTGCACACAACTCTCACATCAATGATGTCTATCTCTTCTTTGGTTTTGTCCACCACATACGCTAGGTATGCGTGACACCCCTTTCTCATCATATTCCTTGCTCTCACGGCGGATATGATACAACAGTTTGATTTGCCTCTATCTCCCTCGAAGCGTAAGGTCAACCCTTCGCCGCCTTCGAGTTCAAGAACCTTCGTGTAGCAATCGACCCTAGCATGATGTTTCTCAAGCCAATCCATCCCGAGGATTGCATCAAACTCGATCATACTCAGCGGTACGAAATCACACGTCAAGTTCTGTCCCTCCACCTCCACCTTACACGATGGATAGTGGCTTTCCCTCTCGATATCATCCCCTAGAGGCATGGACACCAATAGGGTTTGAGTCATCGGTACAAGTGGTCCGTTGAATCCGCTGGCGAACGCCTCACTCACAAATGATCGTTGCGCCCTGGTATCAATAAGGATCCTTGCTTCTCTCCCGTTTATCTTTAGTGTTCCTACATTCATAAGTAATGTAAGACACACTATCTAATAAATAGGTTTGTTTCTTAAGTCGTAGAGTATGTTTGTTGTGTTTCGGGTGGGGTCCGTTCGATACCCTCCCGAAATTTCCCGGTTTCTAACCTTTTGGACCGTTTTAGGATCAATCCGGGTGAAAGCCGGCCGCTTTTCACGAAAGCCGGCCGGTTTTCGACTGCGAGGAAAATTCTAAGTTTTTAATCACGAAAGCCGGGCGGCTTTTACGAAAGCCGGGCGGCTTTCGTCACCGTAGTTTTTATTCAGGGAATGATTTCGAAGCCGGCCGGTTTCTACGAAACCCGGCCGGGTTTCAGCAGCGCAGGAATTTCTAGGCCCGACGAAAGTCGGGCGGCTGTCGCCAAAGCCGGGCGGCTTTCAGCTGCGAGAAAATTCCCAGGTCAGGCCTTTATGAAAGCCGGCCGGTCTTTACAAAAGCCGGCCGGTTTTTCGTTGCGAGAATTTTACAGATTAAATGATGACGAAAGCCGGGCGGCTTTTGGTGAAAACCGACCGGCATTCGTCGCCGCAGCATTTTCTCAGTATTTCAAGACGAAAGTCAGGCGGCTTTCGTCAAATGCCGGGCGGCATTCGCCCAGGGCGGGGGTTTTTCCTCCCCTTTTCCCCACAATCCCGACCAAACCGTCGGGGTTACAAATTTTGCACCTTACAAACACTCCTATTGCATACAATGGAGTAATATCGTGAGTTTAAGATCTTACCCGCCACGGAGTCCGGGTTAGCACGTGCGTCCACCTCCGTCATCGCATAAACTCTGGCTTGAGTTCTTCCTTGATTCACGGACGGCGCATTGCTCGTGCTCGCTCCCCCTGGCCCACACTGGCGTGAGGTGCTCCGGCCCGGTTCCTACTTGCCGTGGTAGCGCCGCTTGGTCCCGACCCCCGGTTCCCACCAAGTTGAGGGCAGTTTGGCTTAATGTGCCCTGTACTCCCGCATTGGTAGCACCGTGGTGGATCACGACACTTACCGGTGTGGTTCCTGTTGCAATTCCTGCACCTTGGCGTCATTGGGGCTTGTGAGTCCGAGTAGTGACCGCTCGTGGCCGGGTTTCCCATGGATGGTGCTGCCGGTGCCCTGAACGATCCACCTCCCCCGTGGTTCCCCTTCTTATTGGGACCTTGGGGGCCATGGCTTTCCCACTTCCTTTTTTTGGCCTCTTCGGCATCTCTCTTCTTCCTCTCCTCCCATTGCTTTTCTCCCTTCAGCCCTTGGGCAACCACTTGGCTGAAAGTCATATTGGGCAATTGAGTTGCCCTGTCACGTATCTCCAAGTCCAAGGCCTCCCAAAAATGATTCACCATTCGGTTTTCATCACAAGCATACTCCGGTATGTGATCAGCAAGGTCTCTGAACTTGTTCTCAAGTTCTTTCACCGTCATGTTACCGCCTTGGGTTAGGAGAGTGTATTCCCTCACCTTGGCGTTTACTTCGAAGTCAGAGTAGTACTGGGCAAAGAATTCTTGTCGAAAATCCTCCCATGTAACAGTTCCGCCATACTTACCCTTGGTTCCATCCCACCATTTGGATGCCAACCCTTCGAGTAACCTTACCGCGATTCTCAGTTTAAAATCGGGGGTGAGCTGCATGTCAAGGGCTGCCTCGTTCAGCCTCTTGATCCACTGGGCGGCAACCGAGATGTCTCCCGTCCCGTCGAACGGTTTGCACCCTAAGTCCCTCGCCTCCTTGATGTATTTGGAGATCCTTATGACTGGACCTCCATCGCCCCGACTCTCATGCGCTTCCACATGGGTTCTCGAATCACAAAAACTCCTCCCTCTTGGAGCCCCGCCCGAAGGTTGCCCTGCACGGTGCCTTCGGCATGCCCTCCTTTCTTCGCGCTCCCGATGATACTGTTGGAGCAGCGCTTCGATTCTGGCCAAGGAGCCACTTTCCTCCTCGTCACTCACATCGTCATCATTCTCTTCGTAAGGGGTCTCAACTGGCTCAGTCCCCGGCTGGTAAGTTGAGTCCTCATAGGACCAATAGGTCTCACTCTCGGTATCAACGTGGCCATCGCTCACGGTTTGACGTTGGCCTCCACGGCCCCTTCCTCTTGATCCCCTAGAGGACCCCCGGCTACCGCGCTCGGACCCACCCGGTGCACGGCCCAACGGGTTCCTCCTAGTGATCCTTCCAATTGGTTCCATTTCTGAAAGAAATTAGAATGAGTCGTTAGACTCGTATCGAGTGTCAAATGACGGACGGGTACTTAAAGACATCCTTCGGCTCAAATCACCGCCATACCAATTGTTAAGGGTACCATCTTAACAATTAGAGGCATTGCAACTCAAGTACCAAAAGTTCTATAAGTACAAAACTTATGCTCATGGTTTTTCAAATTCATTTTCAAAAAGAAATTTTGAAGCTTCATTATGATGTTTACGGACTAAGGCTCTGATACCATTTAAATTGTCACGCCCCGGACCTACCCGGACACGTCAACAACCCGCCGTACAGTACGAATAGTCAACCGCAGTCCGACTCATCCATACTATACAAGGCGTCTTGAATACCATTCACACATAGTACATCCATAAACAAACATAATGTAAAACATTTATTAATGCAGCGGAAACAATTGATACAAGTGTCCAAGCCACACTTGGCATAATTAGGCATGCAAGCCCCCAAAGTAATTATTCAGAAAATATTATCCATGAGCATTATTCATATTGTTTTTCAAAACAAGAACGGGAGAAGCACGAACCAAGTCTTCTCCTCAGAAACTTCCCGAAGCAGCGGCTGGTGGTAGCAACCTTCAAGTTCTACCTGAAACTGTGAGGTGGCCTCCCCCGTGAAGGGGAGGTCAGTACTTGGAAACATTTGACAAGTACAATGACAACTATACTAAGTATAATCAAAGTTTAAATCTCTGAGGCCCTCAACTAGAGCATTATTACATTATAGTTAATCCGTCCATTTAGTATCAATTCATCATTATTTACCACGGTCTAGAGCCCAGCTCATAATCACCGTTATCTACTACGGTCTAGAGCCCAGCTCATAATCACCGTCATCTACTACGGTCTAGAGCCCAGCTCATAATCACCGTCATCTACTACGGTCTAAAGCCCAGCTCATAATCACCGTCATCTACTACGGTCTAGAGCCCAGCTCATAATCACCGTTATCTACATCGGTCTTGAGCCCGGCTCATAATCACCGATTCTTTATAATTCACATTCTTAGGATCTAATTCATCCATTTCTCAACTAACATTTCCAACTAATGTTTCAATGCTAGTTATTTATTTATTTCAATATAATTCTTTCTTCTTGCCCAATTGGCCTTAATATCAAGTATCACTTTCATACACTCATAGCTTCTCCTCATGGCATCAAAGTATACTATCTCAAATGATATTCATGGTTGGTACAACCATCATATACACATATTCATAGCATCTAAACATACATAATTTATTCATAAATTTGTGTATCATGCATACTATACTTATAATCAATAGTAGTTTCATTTAGGCATTATTAACCATTAACAACTCATGCACATCACATTTGTATTCACTTAGGAAATCCCATGAAATTAACCCAAAGATTATAAGTAACATAGTCGGTCATCCTCACCTTAATTAAGCTTAAGCGCGTTCTACGTTTCTCGATTTGACTTTGACCAACTCCGGCGAACTTTGACCAACTCCGACGAAACTCCGGCGAAGCTCAAAAATACTTTAAATCAAGTCCCTAACAATGTTTTATCATTACAAAACCCATATCAACACAAATAACCTATAAAAGGTTATTTTCCGGCAACCCGGTCGATTTGGCTTCTAAGTCCGTTTTTGGACTTAGAATCACTTTCCAACCCATTATTCCACAATTAAATCATGTAGAACAATACTAAAAGTCTTTAATATGATATATACCTTATATGCTAGAAGAAAAACAAAGGAAAAGTTATGATAAAGTCATTACCTTAATTTTCACACTTTTTCCTAGCTTTTTCCTTCTTAAACTTTCTTCTTGGACTCCCTTTAGCTTGAGTTTGGATTTGGGCTATGGAGATGAAGTTTGCAGAGCTCTTCTCTCCTTCTTGGTGTATTTGGGTCGAAATGATGAGTGTAAGGAGGTAGGGGTGGTTCCTTCTTGTCTCATTTAGACAAATGAGTGAAGGGAGCGGGCCTACTACATGTCAAAGGTGTCTCCCCCATCCTCTCAATTGTTGTTCAGCCAATTTGGCACTCATCCAGCCCTCAAGGGTTGACAATTTCGTGGGGTGGCCCCCACCCATGTGGGAGGTCATCCCAATTTGTCCCAAAGTGTGCAATTTGCCCCGAAAGTTGTATTTTTCGGACTGTTTTAAGTATATTTTATTTTATCGGGTCAAATAAAATATAACACTTGTTCCCAATTCTTAATGGACCTTAGAATCAATATGTATCCCTCAACTTTAATTTAGAAGTCTCCGAAATCCCTTTTCGGGCTGTTATCTGATAGATTGCCGATACTGATAATTTGGCCCCGTTTGATCAACCGGTCAACCCTATGCCATTGTCATGGCTCAACTAGGGTATCCACCACCATATACATATTATCTAGTCCAAGATCAATATAATATGTGGCCCCGATAATATCGGGCGGTCCCCACTCCCGATGTGGGCCCCACGTGCATTTTACTATTCACGCGAAAAATTTAATACAAATTCACTACTTCGTAAATTCACTAAATATTTCGTAGGGTTCAATAAATTGTTAGCTTAAAGATAAATACATTTGGGGACGGTGTTACATATTCCTAGTATGATGGAATTTGCATGTGCCTTAATGCTAAAAAGAATACGAAATATTGCTAGGCACACAAGGGTTTGAAACTCAATAGAGTAAGTTTCAACTCTGATTACTCCAGGCTTCCCAGGCCCAGCCCCCCTCCCCCAGACCTTCCTGGAGTAAAAAACAAAAGAATACGAAATATTGCAAACATAGGCTACGTTGGGTTAATAGCGGATTGGCTTCAATCCGCCATTTTTCCAAATGAAAATGCTGCATTTTGTACCGGTTTACTCCAAATCCACCAAAAAACAAACGAGACCATAGTCAATTCTACCGGACACGTATTTAAAATACGGAGTAATTATTTACAGTATAAATACATATAACATACACTGATGTTTAATTAGTAATGATATGACCTATCCAGTGGCGGAACGAGCTTCGTGATCTTGGAGGGGCACATTACCTCATAAGGCTCGACTCTTTACTACCTTTAGAAATTTGTGTACAAAATCGATTCATATGAATTATTTGTCAAACTTGAGCCTGACTATCCACAACCACAAAAAATAACAAGCTCAGTACATGGTTATAGCCCAAAATACACAATAGCAAAGCCGCTACGCCATTCACCCCAAAACAATAATGCTCTCGATCAGGGGCGGAGGCAGAGCACTAGGCCGGGCAGGTCCGGTACAAAGAATATTTTTAGAAAAAAATTTAGACAAAATTTTTTACCTTAAAAATTAAGCCTTTTTTAAAATTTGAGGTGGGCCATGGCCTAGGTTGGCCCAGCCCTAGCTCCGCCCATGCTCTCGATCAGTCGCTAGACCTAGTGGTCGCCAACGTTATTCACTTATTCCGGCCTAATTCCGGCGAATTCCAGAAACTCTCTCAATGTAATCAACCCTCCAAGCTTCAACGTTAGTAGTCGAGCTCATAAATATATTACTCCCTTTGTTTTGTTAAGATTTTCTTACATTTTCTTTTCATCCTGCCTCATTAACATTGATCAATATCAAATTTGATTGTGGTTCTAAATTATTTTTACATTCAAAAGTTGATTGTCGACCACCCTGTATAATATATATGTATAGAGTCATTCTCATGTCCAGCAGCCCCCGGTCCGAACGTCGTCCGAACATCGCTGTTTGGGCAGGTTCCAGGTGGAATTTTTTCATGCAATATTTTAAGCATGTTCCTCATCAAGTCTAGTTTATCCATACCAAATTTCAGCTTAAAACTCGATCGCGAAGGCATTCAAACAATTTGTTGAAGTTAACTGCGCCAAATTATACATAGAAAAACGCAGTTAACTTCAAAAAATTATTTTACTGCCTTCCCGATCGAATTTTAAGCTGAAATTTAGTACGGATAAACTAGACTTTATGAGGAACATGCTAAAAAAATTCATCAAAACATTCCACCGAAAACCGCCCCAAACAGCGGTGTTCGGACGGCGTTCGGACAGAAACTTGCTGGATCTGAAAATTTCTCTCTATATATATAATAAAAAGAAATCTGCAGAGCCGCAGGGGCACAAGCACCCCAAGCTCTAGTGTAGTTCCGCCCCTGGACCTATCTATCTTATAAAGCAATAAAGGGACAGTACCAACTAATTACGGGAGTTTATTTTTTATTTATTTACTACGTACATTGTATTTAAAAAAACCGCGGCACGTCTATGAAAAACTTGAAAAGAAGATACGGAGTAGAAGATATCTATACATTTATTTTGCCGGTAATATTTTCTACGTGCAATGTACAATAAAATAAAGTTATTAAAATAGACTTCATGAATAAAATGTCCGTCAACATAATCATATATGTAGTACTACTTCCATCCCGAAAAGGTTGACCAAAGTTGATTTTCACGTGGATTAGTAAAGTAAAAACTGTGTGGTTGAAGTTTGTGCAGATGAGAGAAAATTAATTTTAACCACATATTTCTTACTTTAATTGGAAATGACAAATCTTTTTGGTACACCCAAAAAGGCAATTTGGTCAATCTTTTCGGGACGGAGGGAGTAGGAAAAATTGACAAGAATAATTTCACCTTTCACTGGTTTTCTCATATTAATCTCACATTTACGTAATCCTAGAATAATTTCACATTTGCACCACATATTCTTTTGTTAGACCTTGACATGTTGATGACCTATTATACCGGGGTTTTACCCATTTTTTGAAAACCTTATATAAATAATCTCACCTTTCACAAATCTGCTCAAAACGGTCTCATGTTTCATTTTTTCTTTTTTCTCCCTAATTTTTTTCTTTCTTTATTTTCATCCCTAGACATTTTTTATTATATTTTCCATCATTTTGTTCTTATATATTTCTTTTCCATTTTTTTTATTTTTCTATTTCTCACTCTATTATGAGAGATTTTTTTTGTAAAATTTCTCTTCAAAATAGCTCTTTTTGTCGTTTTCGTTTTCTTTCCGTATTTTCATTTCATTTACCTTTTTATGTTTTTAATTCTTAATCATTCTTTTCTTATTAAAGATAGAGAATTATTCTAATGGAAGTCTTTCTCGCTAAATTTCCATCACCTATCATTGAATTTTATGTATCTTAAATACCTACTTAAATATCATAACCGAAAGTTACGAGACTAAAATTGTACATCTCTCATATTTTTGATGAATGAATCTTAGCATTCACCACATCAGCATGCTCGTGGACTCGCGTGCTTTATAAATCTATACTCCCTCCGTCCCGCAAACAATGAGACAAGAGGAAATGACAAGCAAATCAATAAAAAGTGGTTTATGTGGTTAATATTGAATTAATAAAGTTAAAATAAAGTAAGAATTATTTAGAACCACACAATTTTTGCCAAATTTAGTATGAGTCAATTTTAGTGGGACGGACCGATAAGGTAAAATGAGACAATCATAGCGGGACAGAGGTAGTAGATAACGATCATTGAAAGCTTTGAGACATATTGAGCCATTTAAGGAAAATCCACGTTTAGAGATGGATGAGCTTGCTCATATTCTTTTTACTCCGTCGTATTGGTGATGCCAAAACGTGCCCCATTCCGCACTTAGTAAGGAGGCTAGGCTAGGCTAGTTGTAAAGTAGAGTGACACCTCCAATATGAATGCATGCAATTTATTCCATTCAAAATAAATGAACCTCCCACGTCAATCATATACGTATAAGAGTTATTACTCCCTTAATTAATTTTCATTCCACCACAACCCTAATCATTGCGACTATTAATTTCGTCAATTTCCTTTCATGTTTTCAGCACTCCCATTTAATTTGTTGATAAGATCTACACTAAGATTTTTCCATTTAATTATACTATCGTCCTGTATATTTTGTCGATATTACGGGCATTTCGCTTTTAAAAATTCATTAATCGTGACAATTATTGAATTTTGTCTAATAATATCTTGTCTGGCAAAATATATGAACTTGTACAAAACGTGTACAAAATGACATATATATCAAGAATTGTCTTTTGAGTTTACTATAATATACTACGCAGTATTATTAGAGCAAAGTTAATGTAGAAAGTATGATTGATTATCAATTGTTACTACTTCTCAAATACGGAGTATTATACTTTCTCCATTCTTTTTTAGTTGCAACATTCCCTTTTTCACGTTTGACAACGCACAACTTTGACCGTTATTATACTTAATTCCGTATTAGTAAAAATAAAATAAAAACCAGATTATAAAACTTAGTAATCAGACAAATTTAACAATATTTTTCAAAAAAAGTAATTCATATACATTAATAAATAAAATGTAGTCAAAGTAAAGTATATGAATAGTGTATATATTCCAATGTTGCAACTACTCTTTATTTTTAAGAAATCATATTCTTACCTATTGATAAGAAATTGTGGAAATATTGCGTACACCGTATTAAACTACATACTACGTTCACATCTAGAACATATCCCATGCCATCCTAACAGAAAAAGTCATTACCCACTAAAGTCTCAATAGGAAGTATATATATTCGTATAAGACAAATTCATACTAAGTGTCCCCAATAGATTAACGTAATTTACCGTAAAAAAATAGATTAATGTAATTCAAACATTTCTATTTCAGAAATTTATATTGATTCAATTCTTCTTGTCTAATGGCCCCAAACAACAAAAAAGTTAAGGAGGTATATATCTATCCCTTAGGGTATGTTTGGGAGTTGGGTTTTGGAGGGGAGGGAAATGTTGACAAGGATTTATGAACTCCCTTTCATGTTTAGAAAATATGGAGGGTATAGTTTTGGAGAGCTTTTGTAACCTTCCAAAACCTTTCAAATGCTCACTTTTCAAAATCTTCCAAACTGAAAGATTTTGAAGGAT